TCACTTAGAAATAAAACATAGTTTTTAGACTAAAATGAAATCAAGGTGATAGTTAATAGACTAAAAATTGAATTAAGCCATTGTTTTATTACTTCTCACAAAAAAAAAAAAAAAAACCATTTTTCTTTAATCATGCTTAAGGCCCTGCGGTGTCATACCTTTGCTCAATATTTTTATTCTACAAAACAGAGCCTTACTTAACATTAAAAAAAATAAAACAAAACAAAATAAAATTATGCAAACTCTACTTATAAGAGAAACTCTACTATACCTGTTATTGTGTTATTGGACCGGGATACCATATCAGCTGGTTTACGGGTGATATGATAGACTTTCTCTAATTATAAAACACACATGTTTAGTAGGCAAGTCAATGTACTTTTATTAGACAAATGTAGACTGTAGAGAAGATTGAAGCATATATAATTAGACCAACTCACTATCAAATTTCACAGGAAAGGATCATGAGCCACAATCTCCTTAATCTCAATTTTTAGAAACTTTAGCATTGGGCTTTTTGTATCCATGACCACTTTGTAACCAGAAGTATCAATACCAAGTCATTTTAGGAAGTGCGGTAACACTTTGGAAGCAGCTCGATGTGCTGATGGGTGCGAACCGTAATGGTGACGTAAAGGAGGTGAATCGGAATTACTACGATCGCGATGTGTGTCGCCTGTACTTGTCTGGCCTTTGTCCTCACGAGTTCTTCTAATTAACGGTATTCTCCTGATTGATTCCTTTTTTTTTTTTTATCTTTTCTTTATGTTTCGTTAATTGTTAAATGATTCATACTCATCTCATTCCTTTTGAACCCTAGTTTATGCATTCGAATTGCTTATTTGTGTTTGGTTACTGAGGAATTTGGTGTTTTAGAAGCAGGAGAAATTTAGAAAGAGAGATTGGTTGAGTTGGGATGAGTGTGGGAGCAACACATCATCTGGTTTTTGTTTTGCCCTAACTCCTAATTAAGAAGAGACAAATTGAAAGTTGTGTCAATTGTTTTATTGTGAAAAATGGGATTTTGAGATAGAGGGAGAGAGGAAAGTCGCTGAATTAGTGGTAAGCTTGAATTACATGTATTTATGAAAACTGCTACTGGAAGCATTTTGAAAATGGTTTTTAATGAAATATAAGGAACAAGGGAAAAGAAGTGGTAGTTGTGTATGAATTGCTGAGGTATGTTATTATTAGCTGTTTTTGGGTTAGTTTGGTAACCTATTAGCTGTATAAATTAGAACAAGGGTCAGGGATATAAGTTTTCTATTTTATCATGGATATATTTGGAAGAGGTACAAATTTAAATGATAGGGATGCTGTTTCAGTTTACTTTCAATTGCTTATTTTGGTTACCTGCGAAGTGTTATAAAGAAAATCGTGCTCGGCCCTAAATTCTCTATTTCTTGCCGGTATGTAAGATAGAAGACAAATAAACAAGGTATTTTTGGTTGCGATCCATGTTTCTTTATAAATTTAATTAGTGTCTCATTTACAATCCTATTTTTTATTGTCAACTGGTATGACACATATCATTTTATGTGTTGAGGAAGGTATTTTGGTAAGTTTCTTAGGTAGGTACCATATGCCCTTGTGGTATTCATAGGTATAATTGTTCTTATGTGGTAAACTCTTATATGTTCAACCTTAGCTTTTGGTCACATTTGAGTTGCAGATACTTGTTTATAGTTTTCTCTGCAAGTTATCAAGACTTTGGGATTTCTGATTTCAAACTTGTTGTTTTGTCTTGTTTTCTTTAAGTTACTGAGACTTTAGGATTTCTGATTTTGATCTTGTGTTTTCTCTTGTTCAGAAAATGGATATGGGGCCATGTCCAAAGGTCCACTCTTTGCAGCTGAGGAGAGAGTATCCTTATATTACTCACAATGCTGGATAGGTGCTTTTTTAGTAGTAGATACTTTATGTTTGTTTTTCAAAAGTAATGTCTTCGCTGATGATATGCCTATGCCATGCACTTTTAGTAGTTTCTGTATTTCTGCATATGTGGTTGCTTAACCCTTCTTAGATATGAAGAAGCTAAGGCAAAAGGCATCGAT